ATGCGGAAACAATTTTTCCATTATTTTAATATAATATTTTTCAAGCATTTCGCAGATTGATTGAATGACGTGAATGGAGTTGTCATCTAAGAGAGTATGCAAGTCACCAATTCCAAATTCTTTTCATAGTTTGTCTATTCACTTTTTTCTGAACTTTGCAAACTATTCATAGTACGTATTACTTCCAACCAAACCATTTCCACAGGTTTCATCAATCATTTTCTTCACTTCCTCTGCTGTAGTGTCCAACTTGAAAAGGAATAACATAAACTGTTGTATATGTGTTCTTGTTTATCACCATTTCCTTCCTCTTTTTCTTGCCTACAAACACAGGGAAAATGAACACTGAATACAGAACCTTCAAAACCAATTATCAGCTGCATATTTAGTTCTCCCAAAATGTGCACGTAATTTTTGCACACACCTAATATATAGACTACAGTTCAAAATTTTGAAGCTACTCCCAGAATTAGCATGGGATGAACTTGACAGAAGAGTGAAAAAAAAATGAAAAAGAGCTCTTAGAGTCATTGAAAAAAAATATCAAACTCATACTTTAAGAAACTTTAGCAACAAATGCCAAAAATTTGTGCTGCAGTAATCAAGGCTAAAGGCAGATATTTTGATGAGAGCAAAATTTAATCATAAAATGCTTTATTTCTTTTTGTCATAAGAAAATTTCTAATAAAAATTCATGTCTCACTTTTTTTTTACAATGTATAATAATTTTCTCTTATTTAAAGAACAAAACAATAACATTTTGGGCCAATTTAAAAAATTATCATGGGTTACCTCAAATTTTTGAACTGTAGTGTATATATATATATATATATATATATATATATTTGTGGTGACTCTGAAGATTAGGCTTGTCAGACTAAGCCCAAGTGAGTCAGCATTCAAGTAAATCAAAGCAACAAAAATCTTTTGTAGTGCGCCATTTTCATTCTTGATTTCAGCTGGATCCAAAATTAATTCTTTTAACTCCATGCATCAAAATATTGACCAAAATACATTTCATTGATATTCTTCATAATAAAGAAGAAAGAAAGAAAAAAAAGAAAGAAAGTAATTAAAACAGAATGAAATAAAATTAACAGTCAGACTGCATAGATCTGAGACCTATTGACTCAGGAGATATACTTAATCGGCAATGTATTTCTTGCTTTAATTTTATAAATAATCTTTTAAAAATCCCTAATGACTTGTATGCCCTGTTTTCAAAGAACACATTTTTATTTCAACTTATTTTTTTCAAATATCCATTTTAAATAAATAGTTTATTCCATACAGTATAAAGTTTCTTTGGTGGAATGTTTCTTTTGAGAAAGAGCAAATTAAATTTAGCTCAACTTAAATTCAGTGAAAATGAAAGAAAGTGACAGCCTTTAACTGGAGGGTTGAGGTGAGGAATGTGACTGGGGTAGTGTTGAAGAAATATGATATCAGTCAGCAGTACTGATCATAAATGTACAATAAATTAAAGTAAAAATTCACAGGCAGAGAGATACATAAACACACTAACAAACAGATATATATACAAACACACACTCTGCCATCAGAGACTTGATAACCAGGCTATAAAACAATAAAAAATGGAAAGGGGGCAATAAACAGACAAATATATCAAAGACATTATCACTTGTTTTTCTTATATGCCTGAAAAAATTTTTTAAAATAAATGTTTATTTTTATAGAATAGTTAAAATTAATATTAAAATACCAAAATGTCTTTTTTTTTAACTTCATAGACAGAAATTTTTAAAAATCATATATTTTAGTTAGAATAAAGGAATCATTTTAGCATCTAATTTATAACAATGGTATATTTTGTTAAAGGTTTTAATGAGCCTGACAAACATTGATGATGTAGTCACCACTGATATTTTTTTTTAAGCTTTTCACCCCAAGGGATTACAGAAAGTGGGAGCATGAGTAAAGAGACATGAAAAAGGAAAGGATGAAGAGAAGGATGGGGAATAGATCAAGGCATCTGGAGATATCGATTGACATTGCATTTGAATAGTTGGAGATTATAGCTATCAGGAAAGCAATTAAGAGGAAGGGAGTTCTGCAGATGGGAAGGGTGAGATATGAAGCTATTGGAGTAGAAGAGACTGCTACATATAACCGTTTCAACAGTGAAAGGGTGGGACTAAGATGCCAACCTAGTGGCGCATTTAAATTCATGCAGTTTGGGAATTAGTGAAAGTAACTCGTTGGAGTAGTTACTAGGAAAGTATTTGTAGAAAAGACAGAGGGTGGCAATGGCATCTCTGTGAGAGAGTGACTGTAAATGAGATGCCAGATCAGGGCCAACCACATTGCATATCTATTTTGTTGAGGACTTTAAGACAAACAGTGGGGGCTCCAGACCATATATGACAGCAATATTCCATGCAAGGGCGAATGGTTGACTTATAGATTTGAAGGATGGACTTGGGTGAGAAAATCCATCTGGTGCAACACAGAGAACCAACTTTCCTTGCAGTAGATGAAGCTATTGATTCAATGTAATTGTTCTATCTCAGGTCAGCGAAGAGCGTGAGATGAAGCAGTCACAAAGAGGTGTTCTTGAGGAGTTGAGCATCAAACATTCTAATGGAAGACAGTGAGGGTTCTCTGTGGGGGGTAATAAAGAGCAGTTTTGTTTTTGCAGCATTAAAGTTAGCCAGCCATTTCCTGCCCCAGTCAACAACTGATTGCAGGTCCTTTTCAAGACCAATAACCAGGTTAGTTTTGTCAGCAATACCAGATTTACTATTGAGGCAGGAGTAAATAGTACTGTCGTCCACGTAGATGCCTACTTGAGAACTAATGACATTGGGAAGATCACTAATGAAGATAAGGAACAGTGTAGGACCCAGGATAGAGCCTTGGGGAACACCAGTGTTTGTGAGAAAGGAACTGGAGGAGAAACCGTTAAGGACAACCATTACATGGTTTGACAGGAATTATTGTATTAAGTCAAATAATCAAGCTGAAATACCATATCCCTGAAGCTTACAAAGGCCAGCATACCAAACCCTATCGAATGCTTTAGAGATATCTAGAGGCATTGCACGAGCTTTTCCATTATTGTGAAGTGCTTCGTAACCAAATTCAGTTATGGCCATGAGCACATCAGCTGTAGATCAGGCAAAGCAGAAACCATATTGCTTGTCAGAGAGCAGATGATGGAATGTAAGGTGCTTAACCACTTCAGCATTGTGGTACGAGACTGATAAGATTGTAGTTAGATGGGTCAGAAGAGTTGCCAGAGTTCTTAAAGACAGGGACAACAGATGAAGACCTCCAACAGGACAGAAAGCAGGAGTCATTGATACAATAGTTGTATAATTTGAAGAGGACAGGAGCCAGTTCAGGAGCACATTTCTTCCAGGCAATGGCTGGTATCCTGTCCCCACCGCTAGCTTTATGGGAGTCTAATTTAGCGATGATGCCCAATACCAATAATGGAGTTATGTGCATGTCACTCAACAGAGCCTCTAGGGGGGAAATCGGGAGTGGGTACACTAGATGAGACGAGCATTGAATTGGATGAGAATTTCTGGGCAAAGCACTCAGCCTCATCAGCTGAGGAAGTCAGGACCTCAAATTGGTTGATGAAAGGAGGTATTGTGGGTTTGCTGTTGTTTAGTACACTCTGGTAGAGACGCCAATAATCTTTAGAGCCGAATTTGCAAGATGCAATATGTAAAAGTTTCAGATAGTGTATATCTGTAAAATGACAATATAAATAAATACAAAAGGAAAACTTATTGTAGCCAACACATTTTGTCCTGTGTGGGAGTTTATCAAAGAAGCCACGATAACATCCCACAGAGGACGAAATACATCAACTAAGATAAGTTTTCCTTTTGTCTTTATCTCCAACTATAAAAACCAGGATGTGTGTGTGTAACAAATGCACAGCCACAATTTTCGACAGATTTGCACCAAAATTTACATGCACATGCTCCAAGTTAGCGGAAAGGCCAAGACCAACTTTACATTTCCCAATTTACATTGATAGTCGAAATAATCGATTTTTTCATGCTTCTGTGGCAGTTTTCATGTAGTTTACGGCCATTTTGTACTGGCCAGAGTGAGAGCCAATAGCTGGCTTCCACAAATAGGCAGGAAGATTCTATTGGCCAGCATGAGAGCCAACAGCTGAATGACACGAATGTTAACTAGCATGCTAGCATGCAAAACAATTGATAGCTGTATTCGTCACAAGTGGGAAAAATTTAAATCTGCATGGCACTTTACTCCAATTGGCTCATTCGCTTGCTTAAACTCAACGTTGATTCTGATTCTGCAGAACTGGGTTGAGTGTGAAAAAGTATTTGTTAACATTCTTTTTTCATTAGGTTTTTTCCAGTTACGAGTCCTTTTTAAAGCTGATCGTTTTGTGTTCATATTGTTTAGTTCTTTTTTCGTAACAAATTTAATGTTTAGTATAGAGCTTAGAAAAAATTCACAGTGTGAGATAGGCAAGAAGTAAGGCATGTAGCAACATCAGCATGGCAAAGGGCACTCCTTTAAAGGCAAGGAAGGGCAAAAATATTTTAAGTCAAGTGATAGCAATTGCTGTGTGAGTCGTACGATTTTTGAATCAAGCACGGGCAACGCCGGGCCATGCTGCTAGTCCATATATATAATGGCTGGCTACTTGTATTAAAAAGGATAGACATTTTGGGTTTATTTAATTTATCCATTGACTTTTCAAATTGTAAATCACTTTCCACAAACCTGATTGCTGAAGATAGAAAAATATTCTAAAATCACCCAATTTGATTTTCTTTCTTTTGCTTTACTTTTTCTGAACCCTGATGATGACTCATGTGAGTTAAAAACTTGAACTCAGTCTTCATTTTGGATATTTTTTCATCTGCAGGCTGAAATTCAAAAAGCAAAACAATGAAATATTTATGGCTACTACTAGTAGCCATAAATATTTCAACAACCCCTCTTACATCAGAAGGATCTTTGAGTGAATCTTTCTTTTTTGTTCACTAACCAAACATTTCCAAGGGACCAGCCAGTCTTGTCTGCCAAACTGATTTCAAATGCAGTGCTGTAAAAAGACAAAAAAATCAAAGTGATGACAGGAACAGTTTTGCGATTGGAATACAAAGAAAATTTCTTAATCAAGTACTCTCCACAAGATATTCAACAAAAACACAGTAAAAATCAGCTGCAGTTGCACTGAGAAGATGACATAAATAATAAAATAGCACAAAAGAAAAACAATTAACAAACCACTTCCACAAATCAAATACACCTGTAACTGCAGAGCAAAGAACAAATGTCCCTTAAATGGCAATTGCTTTCAGAACAATGTAATATACTAAACCACTGTAAAATCAACAAATAATGAAAAAATATATACATAGGAGTAACTGAAGAACCCTAGAAACAAAGAAACTACACACACACAAAACATCCTTTACAAATAGTAAATATATAAACAGCACAATACTTTCTAAACATGGAGAATTAATATAAAAAATAAATCACACCAAAAATATCATGAAAAATAAGGAAAACAGCATAAACCTACAACAATAAATGCAAAAATTTTTAACGCAGTATGGAGGAGAAAATAGCTCTAATTACCTTCTCAAAACAATACAAATTACTAAATAAACAATCAGAACTCATCTCAAAATGCAGACACAAAATCAAATTTTTACTATGTTACTTAAAAATCAAAAGATAAAAATGAACAAAAAAATAAAATAAAAAATAACTAAACACAAATAAGTAAAATAAAAATATTACACAAGTAAGGAAAAATAAAATAATCTAACAAATCCTAACATGGGAGTCATGATGAAGAACAGTGTATACTCCATTCCTTGCAGTTGTCACAAAAAAAACAAAAGTGAAACCAGCTGCCTCATTAATGTAAGGCCAGAGGAAGATCAAAAAGCTCTAGTGAGGGTTGAGACAATGAAATTGAGCATGGCTGATCATGTATAGAGGAAAAAGGGTAGTCATCAGTCCCTGTGGAATGAAGTGAAAATACTAGTCAAAGGAGAATACTAGAGAATTAGACGTCTAAAAGGATCAGTGCATAACATAGGCTATGTGGACCTGCTTAGTAGGCCTAGCGTAGAAACAAATACAATATGGAAGTTGCTAATAAAGAAAGACTGACACACAACAGCAATTCTTTAACAGCAGCAGCAACACTAATCATCAGACAAGTTAGGTTTAAGGCTGCAAGTTCAGCACAGACAATTGTTCTCCATGACAATAGCATAATAGATTAAAGCCTCAGAAGAAACAGGTGAGCAATAACTGAGGAATACTAAGAATAAGAAATGGACGATGTACTCACAGACAACCATACATTAAAAGGTTCAATTCAGAATTCCTTCTAGTTTAGAATTAGATTGATGTACACCTGATGAAGGCCAGTGGGCTGAAACGGTGTGATAACAACAACAAAGATGAGGACTATAGTCTAAATGTAAATAGTGTAAATAATAATAACTCATAACAGAAATTCATTCTCACTCTCATTCCCATACTTATCTTCATTCGCACTTTCATTCTTATACTCATCTTCATTCTCACTCTCACTCTCATCCCCATTCTCATCGTCATTTTCACTCTCATTCTCATCCTCATCTTCATTCTCACTCTCATCCTCATTCTCATTCCCATCAGCATCTTCATTCTCATTCTCATTCTCATCCCCATTCTCATCTTAATTCTCACCCTCATTCTCATCCTCATCCTCATCTTAATTCTCACTCTCATTCTCATCCTCATTCTCATCTTCATTCTCACTCTCATCCTTATTTTCATTCCCATCATCATCTTCATTCTCATTCTCAATCTTCATTCTCATCCTCATTCTCATCCTCATCTTAATTCTCACCCTCATTCTCATCTTCATTCTCACTCTCATCCTCATCTTAATTCTCACCCTCATTCTCATCCTCATCCTCATCTTAATTCTCACTCTCATTCTCATCCTCATTCTCATCTTCCTTCTCACTCTCATCCTTATTTTCATTCCCATCATCATCTTCATTCTCATCCTCAATCTTCATTCTCATCTTCATTCTCATCCCCATTCTCATTCACACTCATTCTTATCCTCATTCTCATCTTCATTTTCACTCTAATTCTCACCCTCATTCTGCTCTTCATTCTTACTTTCATTCTCATTCTCATCTTCATTCTCACTCTCATTCCCATTCTCATTCTTATCTTCAGTCTCATTCATGCCTTCATTATCATCCTCATTCTCACCCTCATTTTTATCCACATTCTCACTCTCATTCTCATCCTCATTCTCATCTTCATTTTCACTCTCATTCTTATTCTCATTCTTATCTTTACTCTCATTTTTAACCTCATTCTAATCTTCATTCTCATCTTTATCCTCATTCTCATTTTTACATTCATTCTCATCATCTATTTCATTTTCCTCCTTGTCCTCATTCTCTTCCTTTTCATCTTCATTCTCATCTTTATCATCTATGGATGGAAGAAGACCAGACATGAGTTTAGAAGTCACACTTTGTATTCTTCAATTACATGAGCCACCAAAATGTCTCTGCTTGTTGTCTTTACAGGCTGCAGGTTATTTTGTGGATGTAAATCAATAAAATTACTAAAATCTTGCTTTCTCAGCAGTGTAGCACAGCAGCAGACTTACTACAATTAGATTCCTCATTTTGATTACATTTTTTTTTAATATTGTACAGAATTAAATATTCCACATCCCTTTTTACTGGCACCCACGGAATATGTGGACAAAGAAATGATTGAGGTTCTGAGAGGAAACAAGACATGATTTAAGAACTTTAGAAGTCAGCAATTTCTCTGACCAGATTATATAAGCATTGTGATTTACTCTGCCAAAGTCTGAAGAATTTAGACAAAAAATAGTCATAAAAGTGTAGGTAGCAACAGAAAGCTTTTGAAAGCAGCAAAAGACAGAAATCTGAGGAGATCCATAATCGCCCACATCATGAAGGAACATAAAAAATGCAAAGGAATGGAAATATGTTTGCAAAAAGTAATTAAAGGTGATTCAGGTATTTTAATTATCTTAAAGGTATTGCATTCAATGTTAATAGACATTGTGCGGCTTTAATTATGATACTGTGGGGAAAATGAAATAAAACCACTGAATAAAATAATAATAATAATAAAAAATAAATTCATTTTCCCATGATCCAAATTACAAAGAAAGTAGACAGGGTTTCTTGGTCACATGTGTGATTTTATGACCCCACTTCAGGAATGGACAGAATCTTTGTCTTTCTTCTCTTGGCTTCAAGACATGAACCCTGCGGTAATAGCATTCCCATTAGAGAATGTTAGTTTCCCTTATTCAACAATGACTGAACTCTTTCCAATGGGATCATTCAGACATGCTTTCAGCAGATCTACTCATGAAGTAGAGATTCAGTCTTCCCAACTCAGTGTGAGGCTGACTTGAGCTTGACCATCTTTACCTATTCATATCTTTATTTCCCATAAATCATTTCTGAACCGAAAAGGAAAACAGACACACTCAAGAGATCTTTTAACCTTGTTTCAATAAAGTCAATATAAAAGAAATAAACGTCCTTAGCAGAAACACAAGTTTTTTGTTTGCTTTTTCTATCTTCTCTATTTATATATTGAACATGCACCTTCACCTAAAAAAAGACATCCAAATCTCACAAGCTTCATAACATCCACAATACATCACCTGCGTACATCACCTACTTACATCACATCACCTGCTAACATCACCTGCCGACATCACATCACCTGCCTACATTGCATCACCTGCTAATATCACCTACCGACATCACATCACCTGCCTACATCACCTGCCTACATCACATCACTTGCCTACATCACCTGCGGATATCACATCAGCTGCCTACATCACATCACCTGCTAACATTACCTGCCAACATGATATCAGCTGCCTACATCACCTGCCAACATCACATCACCTGTCTACATCACATCACCTGCTAACATCACTTGCCAACATCGCATCACCTGCCTACATCACATCCCTACATCACATCACCTGCCTACATGCAACAAATTTTTTTCAGTCAATAAACTTTGGAATATCAAGGAATTTGATTCAGATTTGACAGCAATGTTTTTATGACCAGAATCTCAAAGCTAAAAATCAATATGAATTCTTGAATCAATAACAAAATTACCTGCTTCATTCAGAAGAGTCTTCATGTACCTGTGAATCACTTTTTCTCCTAGGGATTCCCAAAAATTCAGAACAACATGCATAGCCAAGAAAGGTGTGTAGTCATGAAGACCTGCAAGAGAAATGCAAAGATGATCCTTGGAAATACAAAGGAATGAAAATAACTTTACATTTTGCAGACATTCTGAATAAAGAGAATAAAATTTAATCTGAGAAATAGGATCCTTTGTAAAATAAATCAGCAGATTTTCCATTTTATTGATTTGGATCAATGTACATTATGCATCTATAATGCCATCAAAAAAGCCAATTTTCTTTTCATTTGAGGTATAAAGGCAATAATAATAATAATAATAATAATAATAATAATAATAATAATAACAGTAGTTGTGGTTGGAACTCTTAGTTTCATTGGGAAAAAGTTACGACAGATTTATTGAGGGTAGCACATACCTTAAAAAATACAAAAAGTTGTCCTCACAAACACAGCAAATACAAAAAAGAAAAAAATAGTAAAACACCCAACACACACAAATTCATTACACTTTGGTTCCAAAATGGTAAAAAAATATTCTAAGACAAGAACTGTACAGATAAACAATCCATGGATTTACCTCAAAATGAAAACATTCATGGGTGTTTCTAAATATGTGTATGGATCAATTTATATAAAGGTGGTGGCAATCTGTTTCATGATTGAACGCACTCAAAGCATCACTGTAGTCAAATAATAATGATTTTTGGCAGTGCTTAATGACTTTTACTTCATTTGAGCTTATATTTTATTGGTATAACAGTAACATTAACCTACTTTACATGAATATGAAATTTTTAGTCACGGACAGCAGTAAAATTTAACAACTGTCTTTCCTAATATATTTTATATTTGATGTGTTTTTGTAAATATTTCACATACCTTACATTGAGCATTGTACTTACAGTTTCTACAACTTTTGCCTTTAGATAGATAGATAGATAGATATGAATGGACAAAGACAGATATAAACAGAGGGAAAACTGACAGATAGATAAATAAATAGCAAATAGACAGATAAATAGATAGATATGAGCAGACAGACAGATAGATAGAAGGAAAACTGAGATAGATAGATAGATAGATAGATAGATAGATAGATAGATAGATAGATAGATAATGAGCAGACAGACAGAAGAAAAATTGAGATAAATAAATAGATAGTTACATGAATTATCCATAAATCCATAGCCTAATGATAAAAATATATATTTTACACAAAAATATTTATTTTTCAGCTTAATCTCCATCCTTGTCAATGCACTTAATTAAGAGGTGGTAAATGTTAATCATGTGAGTCAAACATTATATGGTGAAAATTTCAGATCAAAATTCAGCTATGCATGTATTAATCTGCAAACCTACCGCTGCACCTACAAATATATGTGCATGTGTGTGTGTGATTGTAAAAGTCAATAGTCCAAAGAAATCAAGATGAATAGCCATTGTCATATCATCTTCATTTGAATTAAGACATGTAGGCCATGAGAAGTGCCTGAAAAAGAAAAGAATCATATTTTGCCATATTTTGTAGCTTCATAGAACAATTCCAAAGAATTGAATTCAGAAGTCTTCAACATCTTAAGACGCTTCTTATTTCTCCATTGGCCACAATGCCATAAACAATGAGGCATCTACCATATTGGTCAAAAGAAAGCATTGCAAGAATAAGTCTTTGTCTGCTGATACAATAAGGCATTGTATAATCTCTCACAAGTTTTGAACTCTTGTCATTGCATATTAAATAAGGTTGTCTTCAATCCCTCGTCTCTTTTCACTCAGTTTGAAGTATTATTGTCTTCCGCTAGTAAAGTAGGATGCTTTGCATATAAATTCTCTTCCAATTCTAAGCTTGACAATAAATGCCTTGTTGTTTTTTGCTTTCCAGCTTATTGGAAATTTTCTTCTGTAGTTCCTGCTTGTAAGAACTCAGGTGAACCATCAAATACTTTGAACTATTAATGATTTTTTTGCCAAGGTACTAGAGGCTCTAATCAATTGTGAATTGGTTGAATATTTCACCTCACAGGTTCTTTCTGACAAACAGTTTTGCTTCTCTTGGTCAACTGATAACAGTTATTGTTGCAAGAGTCTATCAAGCTTTAGATAAGAATGGTGAAACTCAGCTTGTTGCTTTGGATATCTTGTACATATTTGACAGGGTGCTGCTTTTCTTCACAAAGTTGAAGCGTTATCATGTTTCTTTGACCAATTTTTGATTTGATTCAATCTTTCCTGTTATCTTGAATGACCATTCTTCTAGATCATTCTAAATTAATGAAGGTATTCCTCAGAGCTCTACCCTTGCTCCTCATTGTTGCTAATTTTTATCAACAACCTTTACAATATCATCAGTTCTCTATTTGGTATCTATGCTGATGACACAACTATTTACTCCTGTCTTAATGGTAAATCTGATTGGTTCAATAAAGTCAAATTGGCAGTTAACCTGAAAAATTATCTTCAATCTGCTGTTAACTGGAGCAAGAAATGGCTTGTTAATTTTAACACCTCCAAAATTAAACAGCTCACTTTTTTTACTTTCTATCAACATGGCTGATGCTAACCTCCAGGAGAATAACTCATTGCCCCTTCTCAATCTAATATTTTCCACAGACATAGATTGGAACAAACAATTAAATCCATTAGTATGTCTTCTGCTATGAGAGTTGGTTCCCTGTGTCATGTTAGACAGTTTTCCTTACCACAATCAATCTTGTATCTTTATAAGTCTACTATTCATTTAGGCATTCAATGCTATTGTCACATCTGGCCTAGTGCTTCTGCTATATATCTTGATTCTTGACAAAACCCCAAAAAGAATCTGAAATAGTATTGGACCTGACCTGCCAACCTGGCTTCAGTTACCTTCTCACCATGATGTAGATTCTCTGTGCTTTTACTATAAATATTTTCATGGTAATTGTTCTGATGAGTTTTCCTCTTTCATACCTTGACTTTATGAATTTAAACACAGTACTAGATTGGCAATTAGGTCTCATCGTTTTACAGTTGAAATTGCTAGATGTATTCATAAGATCTATTCTAATAGTTTCTTTTCCCACACTTCTTGCCTGTGGATCTCTCTTCCAGCTTATTGATCCCTTTAAAAATTTAAATGCATCAACAACTGTCATCTTCTGTTTCTTTGGATTCTTTTTTTTTATTGTCCTTTTTCGTCACTAGTGTTATCAGTTTCTTCCACACTCAGTAAGCCCTTGCATCTTAGTGGCTTTATCACCTTTTTTGGGAGGGGATACAATGATAAAAAAAAGAGAAACATTTAAATTCTCAGGAAGGATGATAGACATAACAAAACTTAAAGGACAACATGCTCTTATTCCATCCATTGCTAAAGAGTTCTCATTAAAACCTCATAATGATTGCCAGATGCAACAAGACACACCTGAAAAAAGATGCAGAGCATACAGACTGAAAAATTGTAATCAAAACAACAAAGATGAGGATACTTCTAAAAAACTCATTGCATCTTCAAAATTTGGGCAAACAACAGCAACATTCCACTCAAATGAGAAAAATGAAGAAATCAATTTTGAATATACGATTGATATTTCTTACCTGCCCAAATAAATTCAGAATTGAACCCAGATCCATAACCATGGGAGATGATCAGTGGGCGAACGGTCTGTTTTACCTGTTTGTCAACATAGAGAAATGCACATCCCTTAGGACAGCAAAACCACTTGTGGGCATTCGACACATAATAGGTTGGTTGAAGAGAGTGTAAATCCAGGGGTTGGGACCCAAGGGCATGGGCACCATCAACCAATACAGGAACTCCTCTGCAAATGATTAAAAAAATAATGATACAAATTGATCAATTCTAATCCAGCATTGATGGCGACTCACGATTACAAGTTCCATAGCTCATTAGAGTTGTAGGGGTATCACATATATAGTTGCCCCAGTAGAAGTGGTGTGTCTTGGGCAAGAGAAGTGGTGTTCCTTAGGCAAGAAATGTGGTGTATCTTAGGCAAGAGAAGTGGTGTATCTTAGGCAAGAGAAGTGGTGTATCTTAGGCAAGAGAAGTGGTGTATCTTAGGCAAGAGAAGTGGTGTATCTTAGGCAAGATAGATTTCCAGGCTGGTTTGAATTCAGAGTGTTCTTTCTCCTAGATAACTTGCTACAGAACCCAGCCTGCCCTGCTATTTAACCCATTGCTGGGAGAGAATAGATGGATTCATACTTTTCCCAAAGGTATTAGCATGTAAGTGAATGTAATGAACTCAACTGGAACTTGAACTCTGCTCTCCGATTCCTTAATCCGAGCTGTAATCCATTACTCCACGGTGTGGTGACATAGAGAATATAAGATGTAAATTTAATTATATTGATGGAACAGAGTGACGCTTGTTTTCTTTTGTGATCTATATGGGGTGGGGGTGAAAATCTCTTGGCCTGATCCACTTCCCAACTGACAAAACATCAGATTATCTTTTGGAAGACCTTCTTGTTCAGGCTGAGAACTTTTCAGCACCTCATATCACTGAAACACATTTTTGCACACCATCTTTAGTGAAAAAGCCAATATTGGAAAAGGAATCCCATTTTTTTTTTTTTTTCCTACATGTATTCTTTGGTATCATACCTAGACTGGTATGAATTTGAGTGCAATACTAGACGTGGTTAGATTGTATCATATTACAGTTGAGCTACCTAAATGTAACTGTAACTTCTACGTTACAAGGTTTCTTTTCTCGAGCTGCTCACTTGCAGAACTCTCTTTCGACTCCATACTATTCAACTAACTTTAATCTGCAAGAATTTACATGCGACGCCAATCACTATTCTACTGCCCTCCTGAATGCTCTTTTCTCTTTCTACTAATGACTAATGTTTCCGTTCCTATTTCCTCCATACCCTGTAACACAGTTTCACCATTCGACTTACATTCTCCAATAGGGGGAATTGCAATGCCTGCACCAGTTTGTCTTATGGATACATAAACCACACAGACCGTTAAATTTTCTGCCACAATCACACATATTAAAACTGACTTTTGTGCAGCTGGATGAAGCCTTATGTTATCGAGTGTTGCATGTGCTGGGGTATGTTACACATCACATCACTCTGCAATTGATACTGATACCATGTAATCCAATACTACATGGTCAAGTAATCAGTGACTAAACAAGTTCCCTCACCAGGCTTTTCTGATAACACCCAGAAGGATCAAATGAAGATCTGTCAAAAGGTGGACAAAATTTCTTGTAAGATCAATGGCCATCTAGCACAAGGGGGTAGACTGGGCTTCTATATATGCAGGTGAGTCAACGACCAGGGTTCAAACCCCCCGCCCCATCTGATGGAATCAATGGACACATGTTCAAGCTGGAGAATATTAGCTCAGGTTTGACCTGAAAAGGTGTGGGCTTTGACAGGTCTACTTTCCTACAATGCAGGAAGGAATACCACTTCAGCTTTCAACCCAGATATATGAAGTGAACAGGTCAGATGTGCAGAGACACTATGACCACGCCCAACCATAGGATTGATGATGAGGATGATGAGTTATGTGAATTGTGCACACCATATGAGCTGTAAACAAATCTAAATATATATTTACCTCTTCTTTGTAATGCTTGATGGCAGACTTATTAGTGAAGAAATTGATTATATATTGTTGTGGAGAGCAGAGTTTGCAAAATTTACAAAATCATTTGGCACTCACCCAACAAGCAGGCTGACGACCCTCACAAGTGAAAAATACAGGAGTTTATAAAGCATCTGGAATACTCATAATTGATCAGGAAAGAATAAATTTTCATGCTTTCATCTAGTAATGCACTTCATCTGAGTAGGTCATCTTTTTTATATAGTAGCAGCATGTAACACAGCAACATTTTGACTGACAAGACAAACTATTTTAATTCTTCACATATGTACCAAGTTTGAACTGGAACATAAACTAGAAAAGATTTGGTTTGGTTTGTTTTGCTTTACGGCATATCAATCTTAATGGGTCATTTAATGCCGACAACTTTTTTTTTTCCTGGTAATATTTTTGTTTTGTCAAAAATCTATTTCTGTTAATATTTTTTCCTCAAAAATGTATAGCTGGTAATATTATTTTTTCAAAAACATATAGCCAGCAACACTATTCTTTCAAAAAAAATATATAGCTGGTAATATTATTTTTCAAAAATGTACAGCTGGCAACATTATTTTTTTCAAAAACGTATTATCAGAGGCCTTGCTGTTGGATGCGGATGTAGTCTGAGTGTTAATTATTTTCTCATAGATGGGACCCTAACAGGTGCTACCACCCGAGGTCAAGGTGGACCTAGGAACACCAGCAATTAAGAAATGGTTCCACACTCCTCAAAACCTGATCAGAGGCCTTGCTGTTGGACATAGTTTATCATCTTACCCAGGACACGGATGCAGTTTATCGCCATATAGAAAAGATTTGATTTCTTTTCCTGAAAAATGGGTTTGACAGGTAACCAGGAAATTTATCTGATTTCAATCCAACCAACTCAACATTTGGCCTAGAAACTGATTGTCTTCTGTCTGAACTAGAAAACACGATATTGAGTCACCACCACCCCCCACGAGGGTGTCATGTGGCACAAGGCCTTTTTAACGTGGGAATTCCCGAGCCATTAGGCTCGGCCAAAAAATAGCCCATTTGAACCCGTATAAACGGATTCAGGGCCGGTTTTACCTCCCCGAAGGAGACTCCGCCCTTCGGCGTAGCCTCCTTCAGGTTCCTCCCGCCCGTAGGAAGAGAGTTCAAACCGAGCAGTCTGTTCAAAAGTGAACGACTAACTCACTGAACTAGAAAACACAGAGAGGGAGAGAGTTATCTCAAATTTCCAAGATTTTTTCAGCACATCTTTTTTTAAATTAAGTAAATGCCTGGATACCCACTCTGTGTATAACTTTTACAAGGCAGCTTGTCTGTCTGATCCTAGACAGCTACCCTGTATAGGCCATGATTTAGACAGTTTTGCAGCCATCAAGGACTTGCAATGTCCTTCTACTGATCTTCTTAAAGAATTCCAAATGTATGTGAATCATAAAAATGATTTACCAAATCCTTTTGATATCCCATCATTTTGGAATGCAAATAAGAGCAGATTTCCTCTTCTGGAACAGATTGCCAATAAGGTCATATCGATGCCTGTTGCTAGTATAGATGCTGAACGTTCATTTTCTCAGTATAAACATTTACTTGATAAACAATGTGAAAGTCTTACCCCTGAGAACACCAAGCAACTCACAATGCTGTATTACAATGAAGATTTAGAGAAGAGATTTGAAGATTAAATATTTCCCAAATTAAGAATTTAGAAATTTTAAATTTGAGCAGTATTTCAACTTGGGATAAGTTGTTTTATTTAAATTTTGAATTAATATGTCTAATTTGTTTTTTGATATTTTGTTACAAATGTTCAATTATTATGGTTTAATTACTGTTTTGTAAAATCTTAGTCAAAATATTTGACTTTATTCAGATATTTATTATTGAGATTCAAGTTATTTGATGTTGATACTTTAAATGTGATTTTTATATTATGAATCAATAATTATAAATCAATCTAAATATTTTTACTTAAAAAAACAAAATAAATTTAAATATGTTTCAAATGTGTTCTTAAAGAAGGAAACTGATTAAAAGTTCTAACCTCAAAGATAATTATGCACTGTTTTATTTTTTAGTCATGTTACATTTCTTTATTTTTGGATGTGGATTTTAACATTTAAAAAAGTTTAGTAGATATTTGCTATTTCTTTATATGCAATAAAACTTTGAATTTTGTTTCTATTTTAATAATTATAGCAGATTGTGTTCCAATTTTCTCATAAAATACTATAAAAATGAAAAAAATGATATTTCCCAAAAGCAAAAATGGAATTTACCAAAAGTGGATGACGTTATAAATGACCACACGAGAGAAAGAAATGTTATCAACAAAACCATATGTTTAAATACATTGTGATATGTTATAACTGGTTTGAAATGTAATTTTGTTGAGTGTGGGTTGCTTTGTTTTAATGTAGATGGCCTCAAATATCTTAAGGTTCTTTTAACTGTGTGTATGGTTGAGTATTGTTGTGTTATCAATTAATATCTGTCTAATATTAGGTACATGGCTATGTTTTTCTAAGAAATGTTGTTTAAAGGAACTGAGATCAGATTGGTGACAGGTGAGTCGACAGGATGGCATGGTTGTAGTAAAACCAGTGCGTGTGTGTGTGTGTATATATATATATATATATATATATGAGAAAAATATATTTATAGATTAAAGTGCTCAATATTAGGGATAGAGCAAATATAAAAGTGGACATTGAGTCAACATTCAGGCATGAAGATTGCGTTTAAGCATGAAACAGACTGTCACTGTGTTAACCTCAATGTCCACTTTTATATATATATATATATGTGTGTGTGTGTGTGTGTGTGTGTTTGTGTGTGTGTGCGCCTACCAATTGCATTTAGTATGAAACAGTCTGTCACCTTTGAGTGTTGACCTCAGTGTCCACTTTTATATAAAAGTGGACACTGAGGTCAACACCTCAAATACAATGTATTCCAAATATTAACCCATAAATATAGCATAGCTTAAAACTATATTTTATTGTGTGTGTGTGTATGTGTGTGTGTGTGTGTTTGAAAATTCTTTGAATAGCAAAATTTTTTTTCCACAACTCACATCCTTGCAAATCTTTGTTTTTCACCTCATTAAAGGCTCTTAAAAATGAATATTTTTTCCTTTCTTCTTCGCTGGTTCTCAAACTGCATGAATTTAAACATGCTACTAGGCTGACATCT